GGCCGAATTTCTCTTGTTTATTTTATTTTTGGTTCGAATTTTGTTCGAATTTTTAGAGTAAAAAAAAAAAAGAATGTCTTACCCACCATTAGTTGAGTTGGATTGGGAAGATCTTGAGTATCTCGAAGATTTGGAGAGGGAATTAACCCCTTGGGAGCAAGAATATTTGGAGGAGATGTACGAGCAAAAGGAGAAGCTCGAACGAAAACTCAAGATCATGGAGGAAGTCATCGAAGGAGAGCCCTTATTTACATTTGATCTACCAGGCTATGTTGAAGACAAGGCGGTCGAGTGTGAGGTCGACCAAGTCGAGTGCGAGGAACCGTTGTTCGCCGATGAGTTCACGGACGAGGAGAACCGAGAGAGGAAGTCGTACGAGCAGGAGACCGACGCCGAGTACACCATGGTGAGTTCGGGTGACTGGGGCAAAGTGTGCGCGCAGGAATGCCACGCGCAACACATCGTGGTTGAGATCGATGGGGAGGATAAGCCCGAGCTAGTAGAGGTAATCGACGTTGCAAGCGAGATCATGGTCAAAGAGATGTTCGAAGTCGAGATCTTGGCCGTGGCCGACGAGGGCCATGACGAGACGCGTAGAAGGAACAATACGGATAAAAAGGGCGCGACGTTCCAACTTGAGATCGAAGAAAGAGGGCCCGATGTTTGGATGGTTGATGATGAATCCTTGAGGACAAGAAAAGTCTCGAAGAGGAGGGGAATGATACGGAAGTGGGTTCCGTACCCCTGTGACAAGAAGGGCCAAGAGTCGAGACGACCCGATGAGGCTGATAATGGGGCCAAAACGACGCATGCATGGCCTAAAAGACGGGTACGAGCTCGTATGCGGGGCACTCAAGCACATGAGAAGTGGCACGTACAAGGCAGTAGACAAAGGCGCGCACACGCGCATTGGCGTAGAAGCACATGGCGCTTGGAGAATAGGCGAAGTGGCGCGGAGGGGGAGGTTGTTGGGTGATAGCGCACGAGGGGGATTGCTATGGGTTAATGAATGGATGCGCGAGTACATGCGGGTGGGCAGGTACGAGCCAGCAGCGCGCATCGGGGCTTGATGCGCGCGAGAGGACGAGCGAGCGAAAGAGTGCGTGCGAGGGGTGGAGCGACACGCGGATGGCGTGGGGTGCACGGGTGTACGCGGTAGGCGATCCGAGCACGGGCATTGGCGGAACGCGCTGGGCGTCGCATAGAAAGCATGTGGGGTGCGCTAGGCAAGCGAGTGGAGGTGACGCGGGCGATGGCCTAGACCGCGTAGGCATAGGAGTACTGGACGATGAGCGCGGGGCGCAAGGCGACACGCGCAAGGCACAATGCAAGAACGAGGTGGCATGCCTAATCCTCGTAGGAATAGGCAAGGCGCGAATACTAATCCTTGCAGGAATAGGAAAAGCAGTTGAGTGCCGGAACGCGCGTGGGAGATCGGTAACGGGAGTAATCCTCGGAAGATCAGGAAACGTAGTCGGGAGCATATTCCTAGTAAGAATAGGAATAGTGGATATGGGCACAAAGCATAATCCTACAAGGAATAGGAATGGCGCATGTGGGGCGCGAGGCCTTAAGCCTCGAGGCGAGATGACATGCATGCACGCGTGGACGAGGCGCGCGCACGTTACCGCGCGCGACTAGGAGTAGGCGTCCAAGGCGGCGCGCGATATGGCGGTTAGGGTTGGCTTGGGGCGGCAACTTGAAGCCTCTAGAATTTCTTGGTGTGCAAGCCAAGCATTAGTTATTTGGTAGATTTAGGATTTTATTGCTTTCTAGTGTTAGGATTTCTATTATTGCAAGATTTAGGAGATCTAGTATAGTTAGGCTTAGATTTATTTTACACCTATAAATACCCCATGTACCTCATCATAATTATATGTCTTGACTGAAGTATTGAATTGGTGAGCCAATCTTGAGGGGGAACTGATGTTCTTAACGTGTGTTTAAACAAGGTCGTTAGTGCGTGTTTACATACAGTGTAGGAGAGAAGGCCATTAGAGCGTCTTGAAGTCACGGTATCTAGGAGAAGGCCGTAGTGCGTCTGTTAAATACACCTATCGTGGATAAACGAAGGCCCTGAGTGCGCCGTTTGTTCACAACCGTATAGAGTAAAGACACGATCCGTCATCATTGGTGCTTTCATTGAGAGGTGCTGATCGTGTTCTTTATCTATCTATTTTTTTCTTTTTTCGGTTTTGCCTTTTGCTGAGGGGCTGAATTTTTACTCTTTTTGGTTCGAAATTTTCGAATTTCTATTCGAATTTTTCATTTATTTTTCGAATTTGTCTTAAAAAAAAGTGTCATCTTGTTAAGTCCTTTGTTTGATTTTTGTTCGGTTATTACCTTTTGTTGAGGGGCCGAATTTCTCTTGTTTATTTTATTTTTGGTTCGAATTTTGTTCGAATTTTTAGAGTAAAAAAAAAAGAATGTCTTCCCACCATTAGTTGAGTTGGATTGGGAAGATCTTGAGTATCTCGAAGGTTTGGAGAGGGAATTAACCCCTTGGGAGCAAGAATATTTGGAGGAGATGTACGAGCAAAAGGAGAAGCTCGAACGACAACTCAAGATCATGGAGGAGGTCATCGAAGGAGAGCCCTTATTTACATTTGATCTACCGGGCTATGTTGAAGACAAGGCGGTCGAGTGTGAGGTCGACCAAGTCAAGTGCGAGGAACCCTTGTTCGCCGATGAGTTCACGGACGAGGAGAACCGAGAGAGGAAGTCGTACGAGCAGGAGACCGACGCCGAGTACACCATGGTGAGTTCGGGTGATTGGGGCAAAGTGTGCGTGCAGGAATGCCACGCGCAACACATCGTGGTTGAGATCGATGGGGAGGATAAGCCCGAGCTAGTAGAGGTAATCGACGTTGCAAGCGAGATCATGGTCGAAGAGATGTTCGAAGTCGAGATCTTGGCCGTGGCCGACGAGGGCCATGACGAGACGCGTAGGAGGAACAATATGGATGAAAAGGACGCGACGTTCCAACTTGAGATCGAAGAAAGAGTGCCCGATGTTTGGATGGTTGATGATGAATCCTTGAGGACAAGGAAAGTCTCGAAGAGGAGGGGAATGATACGGAAGTGGGTTCCGGACCCCTGTGACAAGAAGGGCCAAGAGTCGAGACGACCCGATGAGGCTGATAATGGGGCTAAAATGATGCATGCATGGCCTAAGAGACGGGTACGAGCTCGTATGCAAGGCACTCAAGCACATGAGAAGTGGCACGTACAAGGCAGTAGACAAAGGCGCGCGCACGCGCATTGGCGTAGAAGCGCATGGCGCTTGGAGAATAGGCGAAGTGGCGCGCAGGGGGAGGTTGTTGGGTGGATGGCGCGCGAAGGGGATTGCTATGGGTTAATGAATGG